TCTACACAGGTGGCACAAATCCCTCTCTTTCCAGCAGCCCAGGATTCCATGGGGTCTCTCTGGAGCCATGGGGAGCTGCAGCCCCAGATTGGTGTTTGACTCATCCACAGCTCCTCTGGGCCGCTGTGGCAGCACCTCCCCACCCTCACAGGGAAGAATGTTTTCCCAATATCCAATCTAAACCTCCTCTCTGGCAGTTGGAAGCCATTCCCCCTTGTCCTGTCATTCCAGACCTTTGGAAATTGTCTCTTCCCATCTTTCTGTCTGGTTCCCTTCAGGACTGAGCTCCTTGTCCCTCCTGCACCACTGCTGAATCAGCTCCCTGCAAAGCCCTGGGTTGCCCAAACAATGGGGAAAAAAGCATCATCCATCCCAGGCAAGGTCTCTGAATTCTTCCATCTGGTGTTACAGCAGTTAATTCTGTGTTCAGGCAGGCTCACCCCAGAAAGAGCTGAGTCAGAGCCCACATTTCCTTCCTCTTGCCCCCACTCTCACAAGCCCAGATCTGAAATGTTTTCCACACTTCCCTCTCCGTGTGGCTCAGGGTGAATGCACAAAGACTGGTGGCTCCTGCAGGGACACGAGTGGCTCAGGGACCTGCTGGTGACTCTGGTGGGCTGTGGGAGCCTTCAGTGTGCAGGACATGAGGGATTGTCCCTGCTGGCACCACATGGAGCCTCTGCCTGCCTTTGGGTGGGTGCTGCACCCCCAGCAAGGTGAGAATTGAAAATTTGGTTGTCATGAGGGTTATTCCTACCTCTCCCAAAATGTTTTCCCATCCTATTAGAGTGTGTTTGCTGAAGCAAATATGTTCTGTTTATTTATTTAATGTGCTGTTAAATGACCTTCTGGAAAGCTATTCCTGCCACGAGGCTTTAAAATGGATGGGCAGGCAGAACTCCAGGGAGCATGCTCCTCCCAATCAGGATGAATCATTCCAGTAGTTACTGTTTAGATTGATATAATTTTAGTTATAATTATGGGTAACGAGAAGGCGTTTAGAGCCTGTAACATTGTAATTCATGGTGAGAGGAGTCCTAAATGAAATAAAATATATCCAGATTTGCTGTTTCCCCCTTTCTAGGTGCTGTGCACGTGGCATGGTTCTTTAAGGAACAGATTTTGTGCTGCTGCAAAAATCTAACAAAAGTAGGTCAGAAATGACATCTAGAGATAACGTGTTTGGTAACCACAAAGGGCCTGTCTGTGTCTTTCTATGTGGCCTTTAAAGAGTCCTGCAATTTATTGTGATAGGTATAGCTGCAACCTGGAAAAGTTTTGATCCATAGGCTCCCATGGACTGTGGTGGGTGGATCACAGAGGAAAATTGTCATTTTTGTTATCCCATTGCATAAATAGGAGCTGGTAAAATGATATTAGCAAAGATATGGAAATACAGAGAAGACATTATAATTACATGAAGCTGCTGTCATCTGCCTGGCTCTGGAGTTCCATCCCACCTCAGTCTGAGCCGCTGAAGAGGTGGCAGAACCCAAAAATCAAATGGTGACAGCAATCCCAAGAAAAGGACTTCAGGTTCTGGAAGGACCTCCCAGCACCTTCCAGGATCTGAGGGGGTCTGCAGGGAGGCTGGAAGGGCTCTTCAGCAGAAACTGGAGTGACAGCACAAGGGAGAATGGCTTCAAACTGGAAGGAGGACATTTAGGTGAGGTGTCAGGAAGAAATCCCTCCCTGGCAGGGTGGGCAGCCCTGGCACGGTGCCCAGAGCAGCTGTGGCTGCCCCTGGGTCCCTGGCAGTGCCCAAGGCCAGGCTGGATGGCGTTTGGAGCAGCCTGACTCAGTGGAAGGTGTGAAAGGCTGAACAGGATGGGCTTTAAGGTCCCTCCAACCCAAACCATTCTGGGATCCACCCCACGATGGGGAACCCCCAGCAGGCCGTGTCACTCCGCCGGTGTGGCCTTGGGGACATGGGGAGAGCAGAGAGGCACGGGGATGTGGCACCCAGCTGGCCGCTGCTGTGTGAGCCCAGCTCAGCTGAGCCCAGCCCAGCTCCAGGAGCTCCAGGAGCCCAGCCCGGCCCGGCAGAGCCACTGTCACCGCCGGGACCTGGCGTGCCACGAGCTGCTGTGTGAGCTGGGAGCCCAGCTCAGCTCAGCCCAGCCCAGCTCCAGGAGCTCCAGGAGCCCAGCCCGGCCCGGCAGAGCCACTGTCACCGCCGGGACCTGGCGTGCCACGAGCTGCTGTGTGAGCTGGGAGCCCAGCTCAGCTCAGCCCAGCCCAGCTCCAGGAGCTCCAGGAGCCCAGCCCGGCCCGGCAGAGCCACTGTCACCGCCGGGACCTGGCGTGCCACGAGCTGCTGACACGCACTTGACAGCTGTCTGGGGCTGCAGACGCGTTCGAGAGCTCCCCTTTCAGAGGTTTCACAGCTGTGTTTTTCTGGCACGGCTGGGATGAGGAGAGGGAAGCTGTGCCATGGACAAGGAGAGGGAAGGAGGCTGCGAGGAGGAATGCTGAGTCCTGACACATCCGCGTTAAAATAGATACGGCTTTTTACATCTGTTGATGGCTCGATAATTAGTGTTAAATAAAAGCAAAGCTTCAGTATCTGCAACTGATATTTCACATATGCTGTACAAGACACCAGTATAATGAACACCCTCAGCCACGTTTTCAGAACATGATTTAAATGGTGGAGTTTTCCTTATGGCACAGGGTGAGCTACACTTCAGCAAATGCCCAGGGAGCACCAGACTCTGCCCATCACCTTCTGTTGGAGTGTACAGGCTGCTCTGCCCTGACTGCAGGTGACAAGCTCTCCACAAACTCCCTGAATCTCTTACAGACTTGATAATGAAATACATAAACTATGACCCTTATTGATCAGGGCTCACACTAATTAATTTCCCAAAGTCCTGTCCCAGCCTGCAGTGGTATCAATTAAAAAAAAAAAAAAAAAAAACCAACAAAACCCACAAGGATGGAGACTTCAGTTGGCCAAAGGACCTTAGGGGTGAAGTATTTATCCTGTGGAAATCAATGCCAAGTCCCAATTGATTTGACTTGTGCACAGATGTTACCATTAGTCAAGTACATGGACACTGAGCCTCAAAAGTTTATTTGTTGCCAGAAGAGTTTCTCATGGACCTTCCCTCTGACCAATGTGCCTCTGAAGTGTCTGCCCAGGGCTAAAAGTGTTCTCAGTGTTGTTCTGTGACAGACAAGTGACCAGGAATATTGCTATGCTGATTCAAAGTTCTCAGGGCCTTCCTCACAATGGCACAAACAGAAAAGGGGGCAGGAGTTTGGCTTTTCACTTTTCCAATCCAAGTTTTCATAAATATTTCCCACTGGCAGGGAACCAGTGCTCTGCAGTAACTCCAAGACTCCTCCCCAGATTTAGCACTTTGGGTGACACTAATTTAGCTTAGTTATCCTAACGATGTTCTGGAGGCAGGGTTGGCCTAGTGAAGGGTCACCACTCCTGCTCTCAGCTGGGTCACCAGTGTCCTCACCACACAGAGCCTGTGTCCCACCTCCGTGAGGGACACAGATGCTGCAGGGCCTGCTGTGATCCAAGGCAGGACTCAGCTGGGATGTCACAGGGAGCTTTCCACCCTGGAAACCTCTGGGAAAGGTAAAGCCCAGTGCCTCTTCCATCCCCAGTCTCCCTTGGATCGTTGGCAGAGGTGATCCCACAGTGAGAATTTGGCTGCAGCATTGCTGTGTGTCAGCTCCAGGCCCTACAATAGCAATGCTTCTGGATTTCTTTAACATTTGACAGGGTATAAACTGGCACAGCTCTGCCCTTTTGTAGTGAAAAATAGGAGCTTTGCAAAGTGAGAATTGCTCTGGAGCGTTACCTCTGAAACCTAAAGGCAACATCATAAAGTGTCAACATGGATTGCTTTTAATATCTTTTAAGTGGGAATAATGATCCAAGGTATTCACCACAATTTCAGACTGACTTCCATGCATCCTCAGTTGCCAAAAGTCTCCACGTTCAGCTGCCAAAACCTCCTCTTCCCTTCCAACAGTTTCTCCACAGCAGGTCTGGGTTGCCAATGCAAAACTCAGCATCACTGTGAAAACTGAAAAGGTGAAGATATTGTAAACCAAACCAAATTATAAACTAACTAGCATGAAGTCAATGGACTTTTTTGTTTTCGTATGGAATTTTTTGAAAAGCTGAGTTTATTTTACTTTAAATAAAGCTGCTACTGAATTTCCAGTTGATTTAGCCAGAACACAGAGAACACATTGCAGGATTTGAGTTGTGTTTGCTGAAATAGCCATGGCCTTGAACAGATAATATATTTTTCAGTAACATATTTCTCTGCCCACTGCAGCTCTTTTTTTCCTCTGTGCTCTCTCCAGATTGACTTTCACTCTACTTATTGCCTGCCTCATTTCTCACCCTATTTTTCCAGTTGGTTTTTTTCTTCTGCTTTCCTCAGTATCTTTCTCCCAGGTTACAAGCAAAGCAGAACCCAGCTTTGGGCTGAACTTTTAAACCCACATCTTGAAATTAAATAAAACAAGCCCCTTCTGTCTCTGTGTAGCAGCAGCTTCCCAACTTGAGTCACTTAGCACTTTTAGCAGCTGCAGGATGGAAAAGGTCCTTTGGAAGATGGTTTTTAATGCTGGGGAGGTGCCACAGCAAGTAGGAATTATTCAGGAATAATGGGGTAATTAGACACTGTGTGGGTACCAGGATGTCCAACTCTCCATGAAGATTTTAGAGCATGTTCTTGGCTCTAAAATTCCAAGTTTAAGGAGCATGGGGGAGAAGCAGATAAAGGGTTCAGTGACCAGGTGGAGCCTCAGCAGCAGCTGGAGTTCACCCACAGAATGGTTCCCTGCAGGGTTGTGGCACCAGGGCTCCATCCACCCTTGTGTGTCCCGGCTTGCTGCGAGCCTGGGGGTGCACAGAATAAAGCAGAGCTCACTTGCAGACATTTCCACGGCTGGAAGTGCCTGCTCAGAGGCGTGGCTGTGCCCAGCCCGTGTAACCCTGGCTGTTGTTGTTGTTGTGCTTGCAGGACGATTGCCTTAGTCCAGCTCTCCAGCCCAGCTCCGCGCCCGGCCCCGCTCGCCACCGCGGCCCTGACATTGAACTCACAGCAACCCGGACCGAGGAGGCTGCCAAAAAACTCCTGCTATTCTTCTTCATCCTCACTAACAATTTGGTAATGAAGTATTGATTTCCACTCCCCTGCTTATGGACGATATTAGATTTTCATTGATAAACTGCACTGGGGCTGTCTGGTCTCCACTGTCCCTTTTTGCTGTCACTAAAACAAAGTGCCACTGAAGTAAGATAATGACTGAGAACATTGATGTACTTATTTCGTCAATTTGTAACACTTGACAGGAAAAAAAAATTCTTCATAGTTTAATGTCCAAGTGTGCTACACAAGATGCAGTCACATTGGAAGCTTTGCTTTTCATGGTAATGTCCATTTCCTATTTATAACCCCTTTGGGATAGTTTGTCTAAAGGAAATGTTTCTATTCTGTGCAGCTATTACTGTTGCACCTGGGTTGCCCAATCCAGTCATTGCACTAGGGATCAATACATCACAGTAAGTACAAGAATTATTAAGTTAAAACAGATTCTGAGCCAAAAAACCTCTGAACAATGTTAATCTTCTGTGCAAGTTGTTCAAATAGTTATGCTTAACCATGTTGCTGCCAAAGATTTGTTTGAAATGGATTATTTTCCGTTTGTTTTATTCCTCAGATATATATATATATTTAAATCTCCATTACGGTTTATGACGAGACATATGGGATGGAGGGGTTTTTAAACAAAAGTACTATTGTTAGATTATTGAACATTATATAAATATAGATATATCTATATATAAATATCACTATATAAATATCTATATATAGATATAAAAGAATAAAAGTAGAGTTCCTTTCTCAGTTAGGTGAGTGTAAATCTGAAGCTCTGTTGTGGTCAACAGAGTGACTTTGGATTTGTGCCACCAAAACTGGGATCAGAATCTGGTGTCCGAGCTCTGTCCGGCCCGGCCAGCACTGCCGGCCGCGCCTTCAAACCCACCCCGACCTGGGAGAAGGGGGCTACAAAAATGGCAATTCCAAATTTGTGCTTGTAACTTTTTTCATTAAAACTTCGAGGCCCCAGTTTTAATTTGTGGAATATTCACGTTAATAATGAGATCTAATTAAGACATCCATTAAAAGCCCGTTAAAGTTAATTTAACGTAAAAATTCCAATAGAACTGTATTAGATTTTCTCCATTAAATTAACGTTATGGATTTTTAACGGATGTCTTAATTATACATTATTATTAACGGGAATACTGTATTACACAGATTAAAATCGGGTCCCAAGTCAACTCCCAGAATCTTCCAGGATATGCCAATGTCACGAGTCCCACTGTTCCTAGTGCACTGCTTGGAAATCCAGGCACAGCCCTGCTTGCTCTCACTCAGAGACAACAACCTCCAGCAGACAAATCCATCTCTGCATTTAACGATGAACTTCCCTTATTCTCCAAGGAAAAATAAGTCTGGATCAAGTTGTAAATCGCTATTCCGTGGCAAATGAAATATTCAAAGTATGTGAGGCACAAGTGGAGAAGAGGCTCTTTCTCAAATCAGAAAGGGCTTTGGAGTGGCTTTTCCTGTTGTTTTGTTCACGATGTTCAAGGATATAATTGAAGAGCAGCAGTCAGAAAATCAGACTAAACACGTTCCCTGCATTCCCTGTGGCCTGTGCAGAAGGGCCTGTTTTGGCACTGCTTGGGAAATTTTGACATGATCCCTAAACTCAACATGGAGGAGAAAAAAAGGCCCTTCTTATTTACCTCCTAGGGAAAGTGTTGCCCTTATGCCACATATAATAGCAAATTGCTTTTTTTATGGCATGCATAACCTAGATGGGAAAAAATATGGCGCTTGAGGGAAGGAGGGAAAAAGTAAATGAAGTTCCAGGAATGTCATTCTGAAGTAATGAGGCATGGACAGAAAATATACCCCTCACATCATCGGATTGAGATGGCAGTCGAAATAGCTTCATTGAAGTGTCAGCACTCATCCATCAATCAATCATCCACAAGGAAAAATAGCGACAGTACAACGGGGCGGCTTTTATGGGATTTACTCATGGGCATAGGGAATAGCAGCTCAAATGTAGTTCTGACATGAAAAGCAAGGTGCTGATATTATTTTTTATGATGGGAGGATCATAAAGTGAATTGAGAACAGTGAGGTCTGTCTTTGCTTAACCTATTCAACTGGAAATGAACGGAGCTCAACTGGAAACGAGCAGAGCCTTCAGATGGGTTAAGATTGAAGCCTGCACCATGCTGAGCACCGGCCATCGACAACAAAATTCTATTAAAGCAAAATCAATGCATTAGCATCGAGCTCCTCAGAAGCTGTTAAATTGCACAGCCCAGGCCAGAGTTATGAGGTGAAGTTGCACAAGGTGGGTCCTGTGGTGCCGACCCAAAGGCCACAAGCACTGCAGAAAATCACCCGGGGGAGAAACTGCACATGGGCTCCTTTACCTGAGCTTTTGGGTGCAGGGAGAAAATATTGGGCTTCTCACAGCGTGTGGCAGGTGAAGCTCCCAGCCCTGATGCTGTCACTGCTGGGAGTTTGGCTGGTTTTTAATTGGATTCTCCACGCAGGGGTTTGCACCTGTGGCAAGGCCAGGCTGTAGGAATTCCCACATGGGGAGCTCTCGGGAGCCTCTTCCCACAAAAAGGAGGACTGGGGTCCCCAGCCAGCCCACAGCACCCGGAGCTGGGGCTATTTGGGGCACCAGCTGCTCAGTTTTGGTGGGAAATAAGCCTTTATGGTGCCCTCAGGGTGACCATAGGGTACATGGCCCCATCCAGGACCCCGGAGCTGCAAAAGTTTGGGGAGATTTTGGAAAGGCCAAACCCCCTGAGGGAGGTCAGGTTTTGCTCAGGAGCCTTCACTGTGTGGGAGCAGCTACTCTGTTTAAAGATCTGGCCACAAACCTTTTCACACAGTACTAAAGCTTGATTATTTTGCCTGCATCGCTGTCCTCGGGGAACGTTTTAGGTACACATTTGAATTAAGTGATTTTTATTTTTTTTTTACAATACGATATAAAAAAGGGAAAATGTACGTCTCTCCTCTCTTTTCTCTGTACGAAACTGGATGAGTTGATAGTTTTTCTGTCATATAAATCAGGTAGCACAAAAAATCATTGCATCTTTTCTCTGTCGTTGCTACTCAATATCTATCGTTCTGACTTTTATTCTTATTGGAGATCATCAAAACATTAATTAAAAGGCTGGTGATCAAACAGCCGAATATTTATGATTCACGCCCTTGCTTATTAACAAGTGGCATATTGATACACCACATATCCAAGCTGTTTATGCTCTTGCACTGAAATAAAGCAGGAAGAATTGTTACCCTTACACACTGCTTTGAAAGATTTATTCAGAAACCAGAGCTCCCTTCCCGCCACCATCCATGTCAAAATAAGCCATATCACCTGAAAAAAAAATGTTCTATTTTAAAACAGGGATGTAATTAGCATCCCTTTGGGGCCTAATATGTAAGAATTTCAGTGGATCAGTCTCAGGTGGTTTTCCCAGGTTTTTGTTACTTAAGCTGAGAGGGAGAAGGACACTTAACTTTAAAAATGGCTGTCATTAGTACAATAATAATTGTTGGGTTAAAAGAATATCTTTGAGAATCTGCTAACAAACCTGCCCAGTAATTACTTGTCAATGCAAGTTATTATGGGTTTTATTACCTACTTGTAAAAGTATTTACAAGACTGACCTCCCTAGCTTTTTTAGAGATGAGGGAGGATATAAAAAGTCATTTTAAAAATCAATAATTATATATTAGCACGATAGGGGGTGAAGCCTTCCAAGCCAGTTTTACAGGCGATTGAGTCAACTCTCATGCATTCAAATGGCAGGATTGTTTCCCTAATTTTTGGCCTCTTTTTCTTTCCTTAATCATGTTTTGATAAAGTGCCATATTTATCGATTACTTCATACCCGCAGTTCAGCTCCTAAACCAGAAGGGGATATTCCCACTGGGAAGAACCCGTGCAGGATTTGCATGGAAAACGAGCTGCCCCAGGTGACCAGGACAAAGCAATCTTGGGGTTTTGGGTGGCAGCTGAGCTGCTGAGGGGACACTGGCTCTGTGCTGGCTCCCCTGGCCTGATCCAGACACTCAGGGTCTTGCTGGGGGTGTTACTGTGGGATCAAACCCATTAAGAACACAAGGGAATGAGGCAAGCAGCCTGATTTTTGGCAGAGACTGAAGAGGTGGCTCTGGCTGGGCTGTCCCCTGTCCATATTCCACCGTCACTCCGGGGCTGGCAGTGGGAGATCTCCATCACACAGGGCTTTTGTCCTCACCAACAGATATACGATGCAATTTATATTTAAAATTCTCTCTATAAAGACAGTATTGATCACAGATTCCAGATCAATACGTTGCAATTACAGCAGGCTTTAAAGGCCATCTGTCCCCAGGCAGGAGCGCCGTGTGAGCCACTTCCATGGACTGTCAGCAAGTGCTACTGGAATGTGCCCATCTTGTCCCAGCACAGACATGTCATTTCTGCTCCCAGGAAGTTGGGTTAGGAATTATGGAGCTGTAACTCCTGGGTATTGACCACCCCAGAGCCCCCAGACTGCTTCTCCTTCGGTTTCACAGCAGGGTCAGTGACACTGGGGTTTTCCTCACCTGGGTTTTCTGCTCCCTGTCACAATTTGTCCCACAAATTTTTTTCTTGTCCTCAGCTGGAAATGGTCAGCAAGAAGCTCCTGAATTTCACTAGAGCTAAGAACATTTCCATGATGGTGCTGAAGAGTTTGGGTTGGACATTGTGGGTGCAAACAGAGCCTTTTTTATGCCACAGAATCTTTTAGGTTGGGAAAGATCTCCAAGATCATCGAGTCCAACCTTTGACCATTTGTGTCAGTTTGGACCAGTGCAATATTTTTAAACATAACAAAATAAAGGATATGCATCTAAAGGCAGATTTCAATTACATTTCATCAATGAGGTCTTAATTTTTCAGCACCTGAACTCAAGACTAGCCTGTTTGTTGATGGCCCTTTTATTCCAGAAATGCTTCCTGGGTTTTCTTTTTTTCTACATTTTATTTCTTCTTTATTTCCTGCAGTGGAAAGCATGTAGAATTCAGAATTCTTATTCTCCAGTTGTCTTGTGAAAGAAAGTGAAAGAATAAAATAATAAAAATAATGGGTTTGCAATGATACTGGAAGCTGACTCACCTTTGCACCCCACACTTGCTGTGCCACATCCCCCCATCCTCCCTGCAAGCACCTCCCTCCCATTTCAGTCCAATGTCTGAAAAACAGAGGCCAGATTCTGGATGCATTTATTCCTGTGTAGATCCAGAGCCACCCTTTCAAATCCAGCAGATTTACCCTCTGTCTTCTCAGCTCCAAACGCCATCCTCATGTCCCAACCTCAGATTCTGAACATATTTAGGCATTTTTGAAAACAAGTCCAGCAAACTTCAGTCCCTAGCTCAAGGCACATTAAATCTCCTGTACTTGAGAAGGTTTTTAGTTATGTCAGGGAGGTGATTGCAAAACTTTGATATTGATGTGGCCATGTTTGTAAAATAACACCAGCTGTATCACTATAAAGCACTTTATACTGGTACAGCTCCCTCTGCTCTGCTGGACCACTTTTCTACCAGTGCAAGCACTTTCATCCCAGTATCCTTCTGCCTAGTGGTGGATTTTTTGCCCTCATTATGCCAGAAGAGATGTGAAGAGTAGATGAAGTTTCAGACAACACTCATTTCTTGTACCAAAATGTTTGCACCATATTTTCTTGGAGAGTATTTTTAAAAGTGAACTTGCTGTACCACTGGACTTAACTGCAGAGTAATAAACTTCCAGTTCATCATCCCTCTCAGCTCATGAAATGTCTTTAGGCCTTTGTAAAAAGCCCTGTTTGAGACAACAGATTAAACACTAATCCTGGCGGATCGCACAGCTCCACTTCAGTTCACACCATCGAGCTGAGCAAACTTTTTTTTTCCTTTCTTTTTTTGATTTAAGTAAAGGCAACAAATTCTTTCATTAGATTCCTTAGATGAGATAGCAGGGGGAAAAACGATCAGTATTTCATGAAGAAAATGACAATAACATCTTGCAAAAATGCAGCCACGTTAAAGGCAGGGAAGCTTTCCCCATCCCCACACGACATCACACATCCTCCCAACCGCCTGAAACGGGGGAGATCTCTGTGGGCAATACTCACCTAGAACCTGGTCCAGGTAACATTTAAGGATGGCACTTCTGTGTGTGTCCAGGAGGACGTGCAGGTGACACAGACATTTCCACAGCACCCATCAGACGCGGGCACACAGGGGTGGGTGAGTGTGTGTGCATCCCTTTGGGAGCAGGCAGCGGCTCCGGGGCTGGGGCAGCAGCTGGGCACTGCTGGCAGCAGGGACCTGCAGGATGTGCAGGGCAGGGTCTTGGCTCTACCCCGCAGCAGATGCTGCAATGTGCAATACAGGTTGCAAAAGCTGTCAAGCTCAACAGTTCTTATTCGGCTCAGGGTACTTCTCTGTCCTACGTCTCTGGTACAATGCGCCCTTTTGTCTTGTGCTCGGGCACCTCTTCTTAATCCTTTGTTGGTCTTTTACTCTGTGTGTTTGTTTTGGGTTTTATCACCTGGAACATGTCAGCAGGAATCAGGAGGGACCCACCCCCAGTCAGTCATGGAGCACAGCTGGCCACACTGGTGACTTTGGATGGGTTTGCTCTGCCCCAGCGCCAGTGCTTCGTCACACGTTTGTTGTTGGCAGCATCCTCAGGTGACATCTGTGACCCGTGCTGTTAGGATCCTGTTTCGAAAACAATAAGGAAAATAAAGAATCAAAATCTCATTTCTCTTTAAAAAAACCACAAATGTATATACTCCAAATGGCAAAAAAAGCAAGATTAAACCCATTTTTTATATGAACAAGGCAGACGGGACTCCCTGGCGAGGGCCTGGTGGTGACTCTCCCCGGCGAATGTCTCGGTGCTCCTGCACTCATTTTGTAACCAGTGCATGCTGTACAGAACATATTGCCTGTAACTTAGAGAGGAGGGGGCCAAGCTGCTCCTCCTCGGGCACTGCAGCTTGTTTGGATGAAAAGTTGCGCCTTTGATGCATTTTTATACTGTACATATTTGTATATATTAACTATATTGCCATGTTACGAACACAGATTTTGTTATATTTGCTTGTTTCGGTTTCCTACAAAAAGAAAAAAAAGGTCCATAATGGGGGATATTATTTTTTTTTCCATAGAAAATACGCTTGTAATTTCTGTTTGTTTGTTTTCTTGGTCATCATCTTTTAATGGCTCATAAAGGATTGGAGAGGAGTTTTTGGAGGAACTGGGAGAAGCAAGTCTGTGTTTGCATGAGACCTGCCCAATTGCTGGCTAGAAAGGGGGGCGGGGGGAAGAGGGGAAATCTAAGCCAAGTTTTGCTTTTAAAGCATGCTTAGACCCATGGGAAACTCATACATGTACAATTATTCTCTTTGTATTTTATCTAATAGTGCCTGAATTATTTTTTTTAATGTCTTCTTGGAGGAACAATTCATAATTGTCAAAATTTGAAACATTAGCTTAATTTTGTTTTCATGACCTCTCATTTCTTCTCCTTATTTATTTTGTTGCTGTTTATAATGGGCCCCAAGGCCATCTCTGACATTGCAGTGTTCTTCTTCCACATTAAGGATGTTTTTAAAATTACCAAGATTATTGAGCCAACAGGCTGCTTTAATCAAAACCATGTTTCACTTGGTTTGGATGATTATGAATGGGCCTTGCATGGAAAAAGCCCTTTCTGCTGGGAGGACCATACCATCTAGTGGCCCCAGAGCTTCATCACACGCAGCATTTCCCAATATTCACTTTCTCCAAGCCTGCCTGGCAATTTGGCTCCCAATTATTTGCTTATTATAACTAACTTCAACTAAACAAATTGATAATGTTAATGGCTTCCCCCCCCTCCCCCTTCGGTTGATTGCTAAATAAATTCGTATAATTTATACCAGAGGAGATTATTGCTTTTATTGTTTTGGGTTCCCCCAAACCAATTATTAACAATCAGGACTATGTATCTCATTAAATTTAAATCAGGTCAAACCTATTTATCTAAGGCCTTTTCTGATTTACAGGAAGATGACTGCATTCCAGAGCATTTAAGATGTATTTCTGTGTATGTTTTTGTAGCATTGAAATCTATTAATGGTGATTTTTTTTGTTCTGTATTTTCACCACGGCAAACACATTGTATTAAAAAAAATCCCTCAACTTTCCCACCGAAAACATTACTTTTTATGCCCAGGGATTTTTTTTTTAATAAAATCACTGCAGTTTTAGAACTGTAATTAAAGCCCTGAATAATAGATCACACATCTTTATCTGTTGTGTTTAAAAGGAAAAAAAAAAATAGCCCAAACTGTTCACATAATCCTGAATGCCTCATTTCCATAAAAAAGGTTTCTATACATATATTATTTACATTTTTAAACATGGTAATTCTTCCCTTTGTGGCATAAAATGTCTCTTTTCCACTGCAGCTACTGGAAAGCGACTGCTCCCATCTGAAATGTTATCGTAATTTGCATCAGGAAACCCAACTGCAGACATTAAGGACTTGGGTGTGTTCAATTATGATTTTGCTGGAGGCTGTCCCTCATTTTAATGCTGCACTCATTGAACTACCTTTCTGAAATCTAGCTGATACGGCTCACCACAGACATGCTTCACAACATCATTAGCTTTGCAAATGGCTTCATTTCAGTCAATGCAGACTTCGGGTTTTTTGGCCAATTGTAAAATGGAAATTTGAAAAGGGGGGGAAAAAAAGAGAGAAAAAGGAAAAAAAAAAAAAACAGATGCACTTAAAACATGAAAAGAATTATTTATATGATAAAAATATATTTAGATTTTCAAAGCACAAGACTGAACAGAAGTGCTCTTTTTATGCTTTCTGAAGATGTTACTGTTAAAAGTCTTTCTACATCAGGCTTAATAAATCTGTAATGACATTTGATGGATTGATTTTTGTGTGGGTTTTTCTTTTCTTTCGTTCTTTTTTTTTTTTTTTTTTTTTTTTTTTTTTTTTTTTTTTTTTTTTTTTTTTTTTTTTTTTTTTGCCTTTCTTTCTCTGCAGAGAAAGAAAAAGACTGACCTGGAGGGGCTGTGGGAGTGCAAAAACCACAGGAATGTGCCTGTTTCAGTAAAACTCACGCAGGATTTCTACCAGCTCTTTTCCCTTCAATAATAATAATTTAAAGAAAAAGAGATGGGGGAAAGCAACGCCACCACCCTGTGCTGGTTTCTCCCAATCTTTCCCTCTCCCTCCTGTGGCTGTGGGGTTATTTGTGGGGTGGGGGACACACCCCATCCCATCCCATCCCACCCCAGTGCTGACTTCACCCCACGCTCTTTTTCTTAAAGTGATTTTTTTTTTAAAGAAAAAAAAGGAATATATTGCACACATTTCAAGAAACCCCTCTAGGGTAAAATAAAAAATATATATAGATGGCTAAAATAACAAATGAATCATAAAACTTCGAGATGGAAAAGGACTATTAGATCATCCCATTCATCTTGCTGTCTGCCAATACAGGTTTGCTCTGCTCCCCTGGGCTTTGTCTCGCCTCTCTGGCTGAACTCCAGCCCTGGGTCCTCTGCCCCTTCCCTGCAAGCCCCCAGTGGCTCGGGAATGTTTTATAGGGACGGGGCCAAATCCTGCCTGCAGGGAGGCTCACCTGCAGCTCCCAGCCCGGGCGTTTCAGTGCCCCACAAAGCTGGAATTCCTGGGATGGGAGGGGGCTTCGCCTGCCCGTGGCATCCCCGGGCGTGGGGCTGGGATTGGGATCCACAGGGATCAGCAGGGATGCACAGGGATCAGCAGGGATTTACAGGGATGCACAGGGATCAGCAGGGATCCACTTAAATCCACAGGGATCCACAGGGATCAGCAGGGATGCACAGGGATCAGTAGGGATCTACAGGGATCCACAGGGATCAGCAGGGATCCACTTAAATCCATAGGGATCCACAGGGATCAGCAGGGTTCTGTGGGGATCCACTTAAATCCACAGGGATCAGCAGAGATCCACAGGGATCCACAGAAATCCACAGGGATTCACAGGGATGTCACAGAAATCCACAGGGATCAACAGAGATCCACAGAAATCCACAGGGATCAGCAAGAATCCCCACAGACCCCCAGAAATCCCCAGAGATCAGCAGGAATCCTCAGAGATCCACAGGGATCCCCAAAGATCCCCAGAGATCAGCAGGAATCCCCAGAGATCCCCGGGGATCCACATCCCCCCCTGCACCAGAGCCCTGGTGCCCCCAGCTCAGCGTTCCCAAATCCTGGAGATCCCAAAGCAGCTGGAGGCAGCTCCAGCAGCCTGGAGAGGGGCTCTGATTTATTCCGAGGGTTTGAACTCGCCCGTCTCCCTTTTTTTGTTGTTGTTGTTATTTTAATTATTGGTGATTCATTCCAGCAGAAGAACAAACAAACAAACAAACAAATAAAATCAACCCTTCAGCTCCTCAGATGGATGTTTTGGCTACAGGGCAGCTTTGAAAGCTCGTTCAGTTGTTTTTTGCTTTCTTTTTTTTTTTTTTTTTTTACTGCTCCTCAAAACTGTCTTGATTTAATAAAAGTTAAATGTTTTCATAGGAAAATCAGGCTGGGTGGTTTGTGATTCTTTTATGTACAACACGAATATTACATTATTCAACAATTCAGGAATAAATTTAATTCTGCCTACCTCTGCTGGGTGTTTCACAGTGGAAATGGCCTGGCAGAGGGGCCGGGTGCTGAGGAGGGACCCAGGGGACAGCAGCAGGAACGGGGCAGGCAGAGGGCAGAGCCTGGCACAGGCTGGGGACAGCTGAGGTGACACCTTCCTGAGGCTGTGGAATGGCAGGGAGGTGTCCCTTCAACCCATGGAAATGTCTCCAAGCAGTGCCAGGAGGGGCTGCCAGGCTCTTCCCAGCAGTGCCCAGGAACCCCTGGGCATGAGGAGCAGGATGGGCATGAGGGGTGGGACAGTGGGATGAGGAACAAGGAACGTCAACTAAACCAAGCAGGCTCCACCTCAACATCAGGACAAAGCTCCTGTGGGGGGGCAGAGCCTGGCACAGCTCCAGGGAGGGCCTGGATCTCCCCTGTGGAGACACCCCAAACCCAGCTGGATGAGTCTGTGCCACCTGCTCTGGGTGGGCTGGGTGATCCCATCCCAGTCCCCTTCCAGTCCCCTCCCAATCCCATCCCAGTCCCCTCCCAGTCCCATCCCAATCTCCTCCCAATCCCCTCCCAGTCCCAGTCCCCTCCCGTGGTGTGTGACCCCAGATTTGCCTTGCAGGCTCCAGGCACACCAGAGTTTTCTGCAGCCTGGGTGGTGACCTGGGCTGAGGCTCTGCCACCTCCCCAGGCTGTCCCACAGAACGCACCTGAAACCCCAAGGTGTGAATTCTGCTCCCTGCCCGGAGGCCCTGGCGTGGCCAGGCAGAGCAGGGTGCACCTGGGGCTGGGCACTGCAGGTGGCACTGCACCAAGGAAGCATTAAATTACATAAAAGACAGATTTCCCAGAGAAATCCACCTTAAATACATTTCTTTTTTTTAGATATGGATGCCAGTTTTACGTTAATACTCAACTTTAATTTATAATGATGCAAGTACAGCTACAGCTCCTCAGTTACCAGTCATGGCCCTGCACCAGAAAGTGCTGTTTGCTGTCCAACCATCACTTATTTCTACTTTTAAAGCACTCAAAACCAAATTCAGTCAATCTGGCCCTCTGAGTGAGCAGGCCAGTGGTGTGGGGCAGCTCAGGTGGGATTAAGGTGTCCTGAGACTGGGCTCCATAAATCCAGTGCCAAAAATCATTAACAAATCTTTAAGAAAATAAAAATCCAGAACCAAAACCAAATCCAAAGGATTTTGTGCACCAGCATATTCAATATTCCCCTTTAACTGACAAAAGCTGAACAGTGTCACGAGCGTTAAAGAATTTTGTTTGCTCGTTTTTCCAAACTAATAAAACACCAATAGCTCTGGCTAAACTCATCCAGAACATATTGAGGGCACTGCAGGTGGCACTGCACCAAGGAAGCATTAAATTACATAAAAGACAGATTTCCCAGAGAAATCCACCTTAAATACATTTCTTTTTTTTAGATATGGATGCCAGTTTTACGTTAATACTCAACTTTAATTTATAATGATGCAAGTACAGCTACAGCTCCTCAGTTACCAGTCATGGCCCTGCACCAGAAAGTGCTGTTTGCTGTCCCCCTATCACTTATTTCTACTTTTAAATTATTCAAAATCAAATTCAATCTGGCCCTCTGAGTGAGCAGGCCAGTGGTGTGGGGCAGCTCAGGTGGGATTAAGGTGTCCTGAGACTGGGCTCCATAAATCCAGTGCCAAAAATCATTAACAAATCTTTAAGAAAATAAAAATCCAGAACCAAAACCAAATCCAAAGGATTTTGTGCACCAGCATATTCAATATTCCCCTTTAACTGACAAAAGCTGAACAGTGTCACGAGCGTTAAAGAATTTTGTTTGCTCGTTTTTCCAAACTAATAAAACACCAATAGCTCTGGCTAAACTCATCCAGAACATATTGAGGTTAAATTAACAAAAGGAGAAGCCCCTGAGCCCAGGCAAACAGCAATAACGCCTGGATGGAGAAGGGGGAAATCACATTTTTATATGAAAAGTCCATCTGCAAGCAATTGTGCTAATGCTTTAAAGATGATCAGCTCAGGCTTTTGGACTCAAACAGGAAAACAACTCAAAATCTTATCAGGAAAGAGATTTTTCAACCTGAAAACAGATTCTGTCAAAATGTCAAAGGCCCAGATTTAGGTTCTGCCAAAAGAGACTTTAACAAGACCCACTTTGAAGAGAAATGCTGAGTTCAATTACCTTTGAACCCCAGGAAACAGCTGGAGGGAGAGCAGAAATGCAGCCCCAAACACAGCCCTGAAGGGGAGCCTGAAGGAAACTGGAATTAAATAATGCCCAGTCTCAGCCTCAGCCCCTCCACGAGCACACCAGCACGGGACAGGTGTCCCACAAAGGTGGGAAAACCCCAAAAATGAGCCTGGAAATGTTCCCTGGAGAGCCCAGAGCCATCAGCTGGGAGCAGGAGCCAGCCCAGGGGCAGCTGGGAGGTTTCAGCAGGTTCTGGTGGGAGGGGGCTGTGAAGAAACAGAAGGAAAAAAAAACCAAAAAAAAACCCAAAAAACAAGTTTGGTGAAAATGTATATCAGCGTTAATTATCATTTCACTCAGTTCTGATCTTCTCTTTCCCCAAACTATTTATGCTCAACTTTGACATTAAAATTTCATTGGGTTTGCTCAGATCTACTTTATTTAGCAATGTTTAATTAGACTTTTGAGAGCATACATATATATATTAAAAATTCAGAACTACCCTAAACGAAAAAATATTTCATGACAAAATGTGATTTTTTTTTTAAATTATTTTTTTCCTTTAAGTGCAAGCTCTTTCCTGATTTTCCAGAATTATCAGAGCCTGTGGTTTCCTTGGCTTGCATGGACAGCTCAGGCTCTGCCTGTTCACTCTTTCCCACTTGTCCCACCGAAGGGATGAAATCACAGCAAAGTTCTTTGTAGTTATTCAACAAGACAAAAAAATCAGTAATTAGGTCATGACTTTCAGAGAGGATTAATGAAAACATTTTACATGAGCAGGATGAGTTTTAAACGCCAGCGTGCCCCACAGTTATTGGTGAGGCTGGATCTGCCCGTGCAGAAGGTTCTGTCCTGGTGAAGCGTCCCGCGTTCAGCCCCGTCCCGGCAGGAATTGTAGGATCGGCAGCCACAAATAGGGTTTGCCAGCCGCGAAATCCGCTCGGTGGGAAAACATTCCGGGAGCTATCGATGGGGAGAGGAGGGAAATCCGGGATAACCGCTCGGGATGGACGCGCTCGCTCCCGGTCCCGGAGCTCCCGGCGGTGATTCCCGGCACCGAGCGGGTCAGCAGCGCCTT